GCCCCCCCCCCCCCCGCAATTTCGGCGCGCCTGATGATGGCCGAGTAGGCCGAAACGTGTAGTGCAGTGACGGATTCTAAAAACATTTAATTTGAAATCCTGACATTGTTGCACGGTGGACGATAAACAAAATTTAAAATAACTTCTGATACCAAGTGCAACAGGACGCCAAGACACATTTTCCGCGTACTTGCAGGAGTGAGATCTCAGCCTGTGCGTTGATCTAAGTCACATTTAGGCTACTCTCTAACTTCAACCTGACTGTCCCTGGCGAACACGCCAGTATTCAGGTGAATATATGACAAGGGGTTTCGTCTTCAAGGGGGGCTCATGCAAGTTAATAGCAATAATAATAATGTAGCAATATCAATATTTAGCGGTCATTATGGTCTAATTATTTTGAGACTTCGCGAGACCCCAGGAACCCGTTTCTTTGCGAAAGTTGCGACTGCAAAGAACGCCGGAATGTAGGTGTGTGTGCGGGTGATGAGAGACATGCTCGCGAACATCTTTGTGGCTGAAGAGAGAGCGTTGTGTTGCAGAGACCCGATTATGGTCGCGTAGGAACCAGGCCAGACACGGAGGCCCCAGCTTACTGTATACGGGAAGGCGCCATTTAGAAGGATGACAGTTTGCCCATTTTTCGATAAACATTGCGGTTTCCATGTTCAGGGTTAGTGTCTGTGGTGGGGAGCCCTCATGTATATCTGGCAGATGGCGCTGTTCTACAGGGAGCGGTCCCGTGGTTATTCACAAAGGACGATGGAAAACGTTTCGGAGGAGCGAGTCCTCCAGCGCCTGTATGAGGATAGCAGCCCGTTCCTCTGCAGCTTCATCTTACACTCACAGGACCTCCCAACCCTCTCAAGACACTAACCTTGAAGATGGCAACGCGAAATGCAGGCCAGTGGGCCCGGGTACTCACCGTCACTCAGTTTCTTGTCATCGTCACCGTCCCGTCCCCTCAGCAGCCGCGAGATGGCACTGACGGACGGAGCGTTGCTGCGGTCACAGAGCCCGTCTTTGATGAGCCTTGAACAGTAAGAGAACGTGTCGGTCCAATTGTTCGGGCTGCCCGCAGCCGCGCTACGAGCTGACTCGCAACTCACCTGTCCCGGATCTCCCAGCTGAAGATGCCCGGGTTCTCCTTCTTGTACTCCTCGATCCGCTGCTCCACCTCGGGGGTGGCGACTCGCGGTTTGCTGCCCCCAATCACCCCGGGCCGAATGCTGCCCGTCTCCTGGTATCGGTTCAGGATCTTGGAGACGCAGCCGTGAGACACCCTCAGCTGTCTGGAGATGACGCAAGGACGCACGCCCGCGGCGGCCATCTCCACGATCTTGAGGCGGATGTGGTTCGGCAGAGGACGCCCGTTGATGAAGACGCCGCCCAGCTGGTTCACTCGGCCCTGACCTGCGGTAGATGTCACAGAGTGCTGTAATTCGAGAGGCAGTTAGGAATTGGACGACAGATCTGACATGAGGAGGCTTCGTACCGTAGCTGAGGTTCCCGGGTCGGCCGAATGATTCGTCTGCCGTGCTAAACAACCTGAGGAAGGCAGTTACTTCCTGTCCTAGCGCATAGTGGCGGCTCCTCGCTGTTGCCCGTCCGCGTTCTTTCTTTGGGTTGTTTCACGACGCCGTCGGTAGCTGTGTGGAGCTCATGTGCAAAGAAGCCATCATGAAGTAATCAAGCTTCTTTCCCGAATTTGCCTGGGATTGTAAAAAATCCACGAAAATATTAATCACGAAAGCTCTCGATTACGACCCCGAAGGTTGACTGCCACACTAACCTGCTCGATATGGTGTGGGTAAACAACAAGTTGCAGTATTTCGCTTAGTGGCCGCAGAAGACCTGAAGTAGTGGGTAAACGTGGAGGCTAATTCCGCAGTGTCCGACCTAGAACATGATTTGTCTGTGCGGTCAGGCCAGTGACTGCACAGAGCGACGCCATCTGAGTACACAGAAATGTGTCACAACACCAAGCGGGAATTCGCTGAAATATAGAAGAGCTGCGGGGTATAACGCCGTTGAAAGTGAACCGACTTGAAGCAGGTAGCAGAACGGCTTGCTGTTGGTTCCACCCACAGTTGGGCAAGTGGGAAGTCTTCAGAAAAGTGTTTTGACTGTTTTTATGATGAATAATTCGAATAGAGTGTACAGGTTCTCAGATGATGACTCTGGTAGCTCTGTTATTTAAGCATGCCTAAAAATTAATAAATTCCCGTGTGGAGGCGGGTAAGAATACCTCCAGCGTAGCCCTGTGAGTCAGAGAAGGGGACGAAAAGGGACCTCGGTGCGTGGGGGTATAACTGGGCCACCCTGTCAGTGGGGGCACAAATACAGACACCTGGTCTTCCAGGTTGGGGGTTGGGCCCAAGGCTGACGATTTTGCTCTGTAAAAATATTATTGTTGCGAAACCCAGAGGAGTGAAACCCGGAAGCAATCTGGCAGGATCTTCTACGGAAGGCTGAGGCTCGGAAAGGGCTGCTTTGCTAATGATCATGAGGATGATGAGAATTATATTAAAAGTGTACATTGTTGCATGAATCGCCCTAACGCGGAAGAGCACTGCGAAATTGCCTGCGCTGTGGGCTTGCGCGCGTTGTACATTAACTATACAGCAGTTATGCGGGCGAAATTGTTTGATGGTGCTTCAGAAATTAAGAATCGTTTGCGTACTTAACTCGCTTGTCCCTAGAGTTGCGAGTCCCGTGGGGTTTCACCCCATGTGCCTGTGTGCACAGACTGGACAGACAGAGGAAGCCGAAGTCTGTTGCACAGACTGCTGTCTTCAGGGATGTGATGCCGTATGGTCTGGCAAATATTAACGGAGGGACATGTTGTCCCCATCGCAGTAAGCGCGAAGAAATAGAATTGACGGCAAGGACTGCGATAATAAGATATACCAGAATGTACGGCATTACATCCCAGCATAGTTACCGTCCTGAGAACCTAAAATCTCACACGTAAAGAGTGTTCGTGTCTATTCACACTCGCGTTCAGATGTTTCATGGCGCACTGCAGCGCTGCTGGCAAGCTCCGGCCCTGCCACACTCTCGTTCGGTAAACAGATAAGTGCAAAGCAAACACACGAATACATAAGTGCGCCTGAATAAATAAGGAACAAAAAATTAATTAGTCACATAAATAGGTAAATATATAAATAATACAAATAAAGTGAATGAAAATCGAATAATTAAGTAAACATGTAAATAAATAAATACAAAGTACAGTAAATGTATTTTACCAAATAAATATGTAAGTAGGTAATAAATCAAATAAACGAAGTCGTAAATACGTAAATAAATAAATTAACACATTTGAAAATAAAGGAATGGATACAATATAGAGCGTGCGCTCAAATACATGCAAGGAAATGAGCGGGCAAATAAATCAGTAAGTGAACATGAAGCAGGTGAATAAATTAACAACTAATAAAGAAACACAAATGAAGAGTGAAGGGAATTAACAGAAAAAATATATCAATATGTGACCCCCCCCCCCAATACACTTGCTGCTTCGTTATGGCGTGTCGCCTCGAAGCTCAGTTTGCGTGTGCCAAGGGGCCTGAAGGAGACGGTGCTGCTTCTTGGTCCTCGGCAGGACATCACATGGTAACAACTGTCAGCTTGTTCATCTGTCAGTTGCGCGCTCATACACGTGCTCACTTAGTTTTGTTTCCTTCCTGCATGACAAGAATTGCCGTTCGATCGCGGTTCTGCTGCGGTGGACCGAGTCACGCCGCTTATGAAGAAGCTCGATTTATATGGGTGCTTAGAGTCGTCACGGTGCTTTAGTTAATGAAGTTGGATCGGTCGGTCGGTCGGTCGGTCGGTCGGTCGGTGCAGTTGACAAGAATGAAACCGCGCCGTGCAGGTTTACATGTTTTCGGAGGAACCTTCCCGCTCTGTTCCTGTTTAAGCGCGCCGTGCAGGTTTACATGTGTTTCGGAGGAACCTTCCCGCTCTGTTCCTGTTTGTCTGCAGGCACTACTTTCCTGCGAAACTACCCTGAATTGCTGTCCGACCACGCGGCATCACAGGCAGACCGAGCAGTTTGTGTAGCGCTAATAGCCTAGCCTCGCGTTCGAGAGGTTACCCTGAGTAGGGGTGTTTTCTCCAGAAGCAGTGGCTTGCAGATGTACTTTGAATATTATAGGAACTTCTGTGCTGATGGCGTCTTCATCAGACATTGACATATACCGCTAAATCTTTATTACAGAATTACCAGACCTTGCTGTATTTGAGGTTTCAGAGCGGTGACTTCTACCCAACTACACGGCGTTCCGTCCCAGAATACTATTTTGTATATATTTTGAACATACATTGAGAACCAAGATCACCCTACCGGAGGTCTCCTTAAGCTCACGACAGTCTTCTTCCTGACTGAAGTTATTACTTGGCCTCAGGGACGTTTCAGACGAACCGTACTCCTAGGATTGAGCGATGAAGGGGAGGACACACAACCGCAATTTAATTTAATTTAATTTAATTGAAAACTGTTAAAGAACCCTAAATGAATCATTGCATTGAGCCTCCGAATGCATCTAAAAGTCATTTTCATACGCGCCCGCATTTCAGTAATGAGCACGCAGGTTCCTGTGGAACAGTGATACCTCGCCACCAAAGTACACGGTTTCACATCCCAGCCTAAGCACTCACCGTCGTGAGGACAAACCTTGGACCCTTTCAGAATAAAAAGGGCAACGCGGAGAACTTTGCGGTAGGTGCGGGAAGAGAGAGCTGTAGTCAAAGTTGTGACCTCGCCTTCCCGTCCACTTGTCCTCCGCGATCACCAAACTTCACGCTCCGCGTGACGCGACAGTAGCCTTCTCAGCTAAACTTCAGCTGAGTGAGCTGTAGGGATTTAGAGAACGCATGCCCTTACAATTTCGGAGTAGCTTTCCGAACATCCGATACGTTCAGTATGTAGGTCCATCATCAGTGTGGGTTTCGACATAACAGAACTTTTGCATTCGTCAGGTACTGGAAAAAATGGGAGTACAGTGAGACAGTACATCAGCTATTCGTAGACTTCAAGAAAGCCTCTCATCCAGTTAGGTGGGTAGTATTGTGCAGTATTCTCATAGAGTTTGGTGTACCCATGAAACTAGTTAGGCTGATTAAAATGTGTTTAAAAGAAACTTATGGTAAAGTCCGTGTAGGTAAACATTTGTCTAATAAATTTCCTATCCACAATGGTCTAAAACAAGGAGACGCTTTATCGCCACTCCTTTTCAACTTTGCTTTAGAATATGCAATTAGGAAGGTCCAGGGAAACCAGGTGGGACTTAAATTAAACGGGACACATCAGCTGTTAGTCTATGCCGATGATGTGAATCTACTAGGTGATAATGTAGATACCATAAAGACCAACACACAGGACTTTAATTCACGTTTGTAAGGAGGTTGGTCTAGAAGTAAACACACAGAAAACTAAGTACATGTTGCTGTCCCGTCACCAAAATGAAGGGAAAAATCATGACATAAAGACAGCTAACAGATCCTTTGAAAATGTGGCCAAGTTCAGAAATTTGGAAACGATAGTAAAAAATCAAAATTTGATTCACGATCAAATTAAGAGGAGACTCAATTCACGTAACGCTTGCTACCATTCAGTCCAAAATCTTTTGCCTTCTCGTCTACTGTCTGAAAACGTAAAAACTAGAATATAAAAAAGTACAATTTTGCCTGTGGTTCTGTATGGGTGTAAAACTTGGTGTCACATTAAGGGAGGAACATATATTGTGGGTGTCTGAGAACAGGGTGTTGAGGAGAATATTTGGACCGAAGAGAGATGAAGTGACAGGGGGTTGGAGAAAACTGCATGAAGGAGCTTCGTAACTTGTACTATTCTCCAAGTATAATTAGAAAGGTAAATCCAAGGAAGACGAAATAGGCAGGGCATGTAGGGCGAATGGGGGAGAAGAGGAATGCATATAGGATATTGGTGGGAAGACACAAGGAAAGAAACCACTAGGAAGACCAAGTTGTAGGCGGGTATATAATATTAAAGTGGATCTTAGAGAGATAGGATGGGGTGGTATGGACCGTACGATTCTGACTCAGAACAGGAACTGGCGAACACAGAAATAAGCTTTTGGGTTCCATAAAATGCTGGGAAATTCTTGAGTAGCTGCACAACAATTGGCAACTCCTCAAGAAGGGCTCAGCTCCATGGAGCTAGTTGGTTAGCGTAGATTGTTGTAGCAATGCTGTACGCCAAGTTTCATGCACTAAAATCGTGCACAGTTTTGCTAATAAGTAATTAATATTTAATACTTTATTGTGTGGGAGCAGTTTTGACGCTTGCTATGCAGTCGACTAATAGTGGATCAGTTTGGATGTATATCTCTCGACATAAAGTCTACGCATGTTTTCGGATAATTGCGGGCGAGGGGGGGGGGCTA